CGTTTCGAACGTTCTAGAAACCTTCTCGACTTTTTGATAGGAGTTAAATAACACCATCGACACCATTTTTTTTTTTTTTTTTATTCCCATTCTTGCACCGGAAGTTCATTCATAATTTTTTTTTACAGGTTAAATTTATTTAAAAATTTTTTTTTTTTTGTTCGATTTAAATTTAAATTTAACCGACGGAATTAATTATTATTATTATTATTATTAAACGGTCGTAATTTAGTTTTTTAATTTTTAATTTTAATTTTTTGTCGTTGTAAATTGAAATTTTTTTTTTTTTTTTAAATTTACTTAATAACTTATTTATGATGATGATGATGATATTATTATTATTATTATTATTTAATTAAAATAAAACGTGTGTATTGTACCTGAAAGGCAGTGTTTGCGAGTTGGATACCTGAAATAACGGAGCTGGCGGCAAATCGCAGCAAATATGGTGGACAGTATCATCGTGAACGCAAGAGGTACCAACCATAGAGTAAAATAATACAAAAAAAAAAAAAAAATTTTTTTTTTTTTTTTTTTTTTTTTTAAATTAATAATAATGATGAGCAACCCCATTTTATTTATTTTTTATTTATTTTTTTTATTTATTTTTTTATTTATTTTTATTTATTTACTTTATGATTTTTTTTTTTTTTTTTTTACATAGAGTATACATAATAATAATAATTTTTTTAAAATTTTGCTTCTTTACCTTAAAAAAAAAAAGAAAAAAAAATGAAAAATTTGACGGATGAATTTCTTTTTTTTTTTTTTTTTTTATGTTGGCAAAAGTAATGAAAAAGTTTTGGCAGGTTTTATCATTATTATTATTATTATTATTATTATTATTATTATTATTATTATTATTATTTTATTTAAATCTTTAAAAATTTTTTTTATTATAAAAAAAGAAATTTTCCGACGGTTATTTTGATAGGTTATGATAAGATGCAAATGTTTTTGCTAAATAAACAAACTGGGGGGGGAGGGAAAGGTTTGAATTCCGCGTTTTCCGGTTATTATTTTTATAAAGGGAACAAACACATTCGGGGGGGGGGGGGGAGGCGAGGAGGCGGGGAGTCGTGCATTTTAATAATTTAAAGAAAAAGGGGAAAATTTTAAAAATTTAACTTTTTTTTCCGAATAGCATTCGATGAACTCGATTCGAATTTAAAACGTGGGAGCAAAATGTTGCAGCGAGAGTGAGGAGTTTCGAAATTGTTTTTTTTTTTTTTTGCATTTTAAAACAAAAATTTTTTCGTGTCAATAGAATGAGAAAAAAAAAGAAAAAAATTGTACGAGAACGTTTTCACAACAACAGTTGGCAAAATATTTTTAAAACAAGTCAAACAAAATAGAAATAAAAATCGATGGATGTATATGGGTTTTCCCCATTTTCTTTTTGCTCCCACAAAAACATTTCGAAAAATTATTATTATTATTATTATTTAATTTATCATTTAATTTGGCTTTGAAACAAATTTATTATTATTATTATTTGAAAATTATATATTTTTACTCCTACAACGAAAATTATTTGAGTGAAAAACACAAGGCACACGGGGGTAAGCGAGGGGAAGGGGAAGAGGAGGGGGATGGGGGGTTGGAATTTTCTTTGATTTATTTAAATGTTTAAAGAAACAGGTGGAAATGATTTTTTTTTTTTTTTTTCAATGTTTCACTCACTGACAGGTGCAAAAGATTTTGTTAGAATAAAAAGAAGCAATTTTCTTCTCTCGAAACGACGATATTTACGAATTTCGTGTGAGAAAGAGAGAGAGGGGGGGAACAGGAAAATTGGCTCATTCTTTAAATGATGACGTAACAAAACACGGTTGGTAGTTTTCGCGTTATGCTATGACGTCAAATGAATCATTAATAATGACGTTTAAAAATTATATATATATATAAAATTCCGTTGGCGGCGGTCACACGCATTTATTCCTACGCATTTTTTTTTTTTTTTGTGTGTGTGTGACGTTGCAAATTTCTTTTTTCTTTTTGTCGTGAAATATGAAAATCAATTATTTATTTATTAAATGAAAATGTCCACGTGGAACGTGACCTCTCTCTCTCTCTCTCTCTCTCTCTCTCTCTCTCTCTCTCTCTCTCTCTCTCTCTCTCTCTCTCTCTTTATTTTAATTTTTTTTTTGTATAAATTGGGTCAACTGTTGCTTTTAAGAGGGGGGTTTTCCCGTGTACCATATCCGGGTATTTAAAACTCGAAACAATTTTTCTTTTGCCACTTTTTTCGTTTGTTTGTTTGTTTGTTTGTGTCTTCTGTTTAGCAGAAGACAATATATATATGTAAACAATTCATCCGTCAAATTTGTAAAAAAAACAAAAACTAATAATTTAGTTATCACGTTGGTGATTTGATTAACCGAATACCATCCAAAAAAAAAATTAATAATAATTATTTATTTATTTATTTATTTTATTTTTATTTATTTTTTTTTTTGGTTGGTAACAACAACAACAACAACAAAAACAACAACAGAAACAAAAATTTTGTTTATAACCGGAAACATTTATTTATTTAATTTTCATCTACCAGCAAAGCCAATGCCTTTTCTTCAGTGCATACTTAAATATATATATATATGTATGTTTATTATTTATCCGTTTTCATACATACATATATATGTATATGTATACATAAATAGATTTATTAATTTATTTTTTTTTTTGTAATTAGTTGATTAATAATTTTTTTTGATAAGTAATAAGTAATAATAAGAAAACGTGGTTGTGTTATGTGAAAGTTTGATAATGAAAAAATTTTAAATTATATATATATATATTTTAATAATATATATATGTATATGTTGGCATGCCTGAAAGCTCGCGTAGAAATCATGCTATGAATATTATGATGTAGCAGCACTTTATCTAATTTTATTTTTAATTTTAATTTTAATTTAATTTTAATTTAATTTTAATTTAATTTTTTTCCTCCATGTGTATTTTATAATTTATTTGAAAAAAAAAAAACAAATCACTTGAGCAAATTCACTTATTATTATTATTATTGTTACTTACTTGTTATTGGTTATGCTTCAAAAAAACAATTTTTTTCCGAGCTTATTTATTTATTATTATTATTATTTTTTTATATATTTAGTTTTTTTTTTTTTTTTAAAACAAAATTTCGGTGATTTGGTTGGGATAAGCTGACTTTTAACTAATTAATTAATTAATTTAATTAATTAAATTAATTTATTAATTAAAACGGATTTTGACATCTCGTCGACCAATTTAAAAAAAAAATTATTTGTTTTTTTATATATATATATATATCGATACTATCCATGTATGATGTTATTATTTATGTTTTCCACGTGTTTTTATTTTGTTTCGAGTCCATAATAATGTTACGTACGCACACACACGCACAAACACACACATATATAAATTTTTTTTTGTTTTGTTTTCTTTCTCTCTCTCTCTCTCTCTACTTTTGACATACGTACTACGACATTAAATTTCTTTGAAAAACGACACTCACACATACACACGCACAAACACGTACACGCACACGTGTAAAAAAAAAGATAAGAGACCTAAAACATAATAATTTTTATATTAAAAAAAAATTCGCAATCCACTTCCGGTATTTCGATTATAATTATTATTACCCTTTATTATTATTATTATTTTCTTCGTAACGTCGTCAATCAAGTGAGAATATTTTATTTTATTTATTTATTATGTATATGTTTCCCCCCCTTTTTTTTTATTTATTTATTTTTTGTTTTGTTATTATTATTTTATTATTATTTTAAATGTTTGAGGAAAATCCATTATTGAAACACTAAAGAAACATTGGCTAGTTGGTAGATGATGTATGAAACGCCGTACGCATGCACGTGTATATATGCATACACACGCACAATATACGTATGTATACACGTGTGTACGTACGCGCGTTTTTTTTATTATTTTATTATTATTATTATTAACAAAACGGTAGCAAGCAAGCAAGCAAATGGTGTCTACCACCACTACTACTACTACTTCATTTTTTTTTTTTTTTTTCGTTTTTTATTTTTTATTTTTATTATTTATTAATATTATTATTATGATTATCAAAAGGGTTGCTACCTCTTTACAGTTATGACGACTAATAATATTCGTTTATTAAACCGCAAATGGAACGTTAATAATGATTTTTAATAATTTTATTAATTAATTAATTATTATTATTATTAATAATTTTTTTTTTTTTAAATGCTGCCTTTGACTATTTATTTATATATAATTTTTTTTGCTAAAGCCAGCGTTTCTGTGTGTTTCTTTTTTGGATTTTTTTTTATTTTTTTTATTTTGGTATTCCTGCCTTTTTTTTCTTACTTTATTATTATTATTATTATTAAACGGTTTTGAGTTTGATATTGGAAAAAAAAAATATAATAATAATAATAATAAAGGCAGACGATGATGATTGATTTTTTTTTCTAATTAATTAAATCTATTTATTTATTTATCATTACGTTTTGTTTATTTAACGGGGGGGGAGGGAGGGAGGGCGGAAACGAACTCGGGAATAGTATCGTGTTATCATTATTATTATTATTATTTAATTAAATAATCGAATTTTTTTTCAATGAATATAAGATAATCGTGATTGATTGATTACGTACGTTTTTTAAAAGTGGCAGTAGATAAAAGGATTTAATATATATTAAAAAAAAAAAAAAAAGAAAAAGATTAATAATGGAAAATCACGTGACCGTAGGGTTCCAGTAGGTTTACAGTGAGAGGTAGGGGGGCGGGGAAAAAAAGGATATTGTATAGGAAAATGAGAGGAAATTATTATTCTGTCTATCTGTCTTATGTTTAAATTAAATTTATTAAATTATTCGATGACGTCACAAAGGCGTGAAAATCATCACGTTTTCTTTTATTTATTTATAAATTGACATGGACGTAAATTAGTAAAATAAAAAAAAAATCAATCATCTTATGTTTAAACGGTATTATAAGGAAGAAAAAAAAAGGCGGGAAAAATAATTTTTTGAATTTTTTTTGTTTTTGTTTTTTTTTTTTTCCACTCTCCCCATTTTATTCATATTCATAACTATTATTATTATTATTATTATTTATTCCGTCGAAAGTTTTTCTTTCTTTCTTTTTGTTTTTGTTTTTTTGTTTGTTTTGTTTGTTTGTTTTTTTTTTTTTTTTTTTTTTTTTTTGGTTTTTTTTTGACTGATTTGAGTGTGTCTCTTTGTCTGTCCTTCTATATGTCATCGGTACCAATCACCGTCACACACACACAATAGGCAATATTCGCCAGTTGTATTCCTGAGATAATTGATTTGATTGGCACGCGTCCTAAATATGGTGGCACTTTGAAGAATGAACGCGGACGAAGGTGAGAGATCAATTTTACAAAAAAAAAAAAAAAAAATTGAAAAAAAAAAAAAAAATGAAAAATGGTGTTTAGATGTTTTCTATCTATCTTTCTTTCTTTATTTCTTTTTCTATTTTTTTTTCTATTTTTTTTTTTCTTTGTCGTTTTGGCTTTTTCTTTTTCTTTCTTTTTCATTCGATTTTCTTTTTTTTTTTTTTTTTTACTTTTTATCCCTCCTGATTTTTCTCTACACATCTCTCTCTCTCTCTCTCTCTCTTTATACATGTATGCTTTGTTATTTTTTTTTTCTAAAACATTGATTTCTACTCCCTCTCTCTCTCTCTCTCTCTCTCTCTCTCTCTTTCCAATTCAATTTTTTAATGTTGCCGTTTATTATCATTATTATTATCCAAATTGTGCAAGCATTTCCGTTACATAATAAGGACAGACGGACACTATTTTTTTATTTGGCAATAATTTACAATAATAATAATAATTTTTTTCTGTTTTGATAATTACGAGTGCAACGACGAAAACAAAGTCAAAAAAAAAAAAAATCGTTTGTTTATTGTTTTTTTTATTTTACCTTTGTTTGTTTTCGTCGTTGTTGTCGTTGTCGTCATCGCGTTTGTCGTTATTATTCAAAAAGGGTCAGAATTAATCCAACCAATAAGAAAAAAAAAAAAAAAAAAATTTTTTTTTTTTGTTTTTTTTTTTTTTTTTTTTTTTGCACACAATTCACATTAACGAAATAAATGATGATGATGATGATGATGATGATGATGATGCATTTGTAGTTAATAATAATTATTTATTTATTTAGAAAAATTAATAATAATAATAACAACAATCATACGATTTTTTTTTGTTAAAAAGGCAAATTTGAACTATATACGTATATACATAAATTGTTCATGCTTTGCACGTGATAGAAAAAAAAAAAAAAAAAAAAAAATTTAACAATAAGTAGTTTAAAGGATAGAACCTTAATTTCCTTAACCTTGCCCTGCATATAATGTTAATTTGTATAATAATTATTTATAAATAGTCACGAAATGTTTTTTTTTTTTTTTGTTTTTCAATGTAAATCAAAACGTTCGCCGTGTGCTATAACATGTCCGTGTTTGTTTGTTTGTTTGTTTGTTTTTCACGTGGGGTTTTTCCTTCTCGAAATTGTTTTATTTTTTTTCGTTCGGTAAATTTAAATTTAAATATTTTCGCGCCAAAAAAAAAAAATTCGGGAAAATTGAAGCGGGAGTGCGGAGAGCGGTAATAAAACTTTCTAGAAAATTCGTTTGAATTATTTAATGTTCGGGAATTGTTTTTCATAGACAAACACCCGCATTCACGCACGTAATAACCGTGACGTCACATCAATCAAAAAAAACGCAATGAGTTTGTTAAAAGGCAATTAAACGTGGCGACGAATACGGTTTTTTGGTAATGACAATGTTTAGAGAGGACAGCGGGACAAACAAACGTACAAACGGTGAAATTTTCGTTTCAATTTTTCTTTTAAACGTCATTACATTACGAAAAACGATCGAGTATCGAAAATCGATATAATGAACGACGATATCTCGATTTAATTTAGGTCGATTTAAATGTTAAAAAAAAAAAAAAAAAAAAAAAAAAAACACCATGAATGGAATAACAAACAAACAAAAAATAAATAAATGTTACGAAACAAACTACCAAAAAAAAAAAAAAAAAAAATTAAATTAATGTTTTTAATCCGTTATTCGTGTCAATAGAAAAAAAAAAAAAAATCGAATTTTAATAATAAATTGTTCGTCACTTTATTTTTTTGAACGTAATTTTTTATTATACGTGACGTACAATTTAAAATTTTCTCTCTCTCTCTCTCTCTTTTCTATCGCCACGTTAAATTTGAAAATAAATGTTTTTGTACGCGAAACGAACCTTTTTATTTAATAAAACTAAGAGAAAAAAAAAAAAAAAAAGATTTTCGACAAAATTTTCCGAGAAAGATGAGAAAGACGGGGAAGGAGAAGAAAAAAGAGAGAGAGAGAGAGAGAAAAAATTGTTTTATTTTGTCGTGGAATTAACGTTTAATTTTAATTAATTAATTTATTTATTACCGTCAGGCACATCGTCGTGTGCGGTCACATAACATATGAATCCGTGTCGCATTTTCTCAAGGATTTTCTTCACGAAGATAGAGAAGACGTTGACGTGGAAGTAGTCTTTTTACACAGGTAAAATAATTCATTTTTTTTTTCAATGTGTATTCTATCTCTCGTGAGTGCGTGGGTCGTAAAACAAGCCAATTTATTATTATTATTATTTTTGAAATTCGATTGAGAAAAATTTTTTAAATCGACATGGGGCACTTGTTTTTTTTTTTTTTTTTTTCGGGTCAACCACGAACCGTTGACGATTAATTAACCTTCTCTCTCTCTCTCTCTCACAACGTTTCTTTTCCAAACCTGTTATTATAAAACGATTTAAAATGGCGGTCCAAACGAAACGAAAAAAAAAAAATTTTTTTTAAACTCCATCCGCGCATGAACATATTTTCACATTATCGACGTTAGGCATTGATATTAATAATAATAATAATAATAATAATAAGCAGAAGAAAAAAATATTTTTTTAGACTTCACGTTCTACGACGCAAAATAATAATAATAATAATAAAATAAATTTTTTTTCTCTCTCTCTCTCTCTCTCTCAACTGGCTTTGGGGGTGTCTTTTATACGAAATTGGGTCAAGCAACGATCGATACTCCTTTCGGTCGGAAAATTAATGTTATTGTTTTTTTTTTTTTTCCTCCTCCATTTTTTTCTTTTTTTTTTTTTTTTTTTCCTACGAATCGTTTTGATAATAATAATAATAATAATCGTTTCCATGGCAAATAACCTTATTCGGGTACACACAATCACTCTCCCTGTGTTGTCACAAAACAACGAAAACGACGATCGGTGGTGATCTTTTTTACAAAAAAAATATCGATTTTAGTTTTGTTATGAACGAAAAAAAATATTAATAATAATGATAAAACGGGGGGAGGGGAAGGGAAAGGGAGAGGAAATGTTTTCGAAAACGATTCGTTTAAAACATTAATGATAATAATAATTATAATAAGATGAACAAGAGGGAAAGGGAAGGGAATTTTGTCGTCGACATTAAAATTTTATTTTAAGAGAGAGAAAGTTGTCGGAGTTTTGCTAAAGGGGTTAATTTTATTATTATTATTATTATTATTATTATTATTAATCTGATAGCGAGAGTTAAAAAGAGAGGTAATTATCCATTTTTTAAAGAGAGAGAGAGAGAGAGAGAGAGAGATTGTCGAACATTAGATATTAAACACTCCGCCTTTGTCATTTGAAAATTGTCACGCCACTTGGTCATCAATCTTTTAATGGCTAACATCATTAAATAAATTTCCCTCGTTCAAAAAACATAATAATAATAATAATAATAATAATCATTTTCAAAAGGAAGAGGAGGAGGAGTTGGGGGGAGCGAGGGGCGGGAAAGGGAGAGGGGGGAAGGAAAAAAAGGGTAGGGGACACAAAATTTCGTCATCAATTTTATATGTGATATCGAAAACGGAAAATATAGTGAAAGTTTAAACGATATTTTAGGAAAGAACCCGATTTGGAGCTGGAAGGTTTACTCAAGAGGCACTACACAACAGTCGAGTTCTTTCAGGGTACCATGATGAATGCGGTTGACCTTGAGAGAGTCAAGGTAACCCTTTAAAAATCTTTTGCACCCCCGTTTTAGACGTAGATGATAGAATAAACGGCACGGTCACTTTTTTTTTTTTTTTTTTTTTTTTTTTTTGCTTTCGTTCAAAGCACGAAACATTCAAATCATTATTATTATTATTATTATTGATTTTAATGTGTAATAACCTGAGTAGTGACCGGATATAGTTTTTTTTTAGTTTTTATTTATTTATTTATTTAAAATGGTGGTGCAAGATTTTCGAGTTACCCGTTTTATTACACCCCTCCTTCTGTTTATTTACATTGATTGTTTAAACAAAAAAAAAAAAAAAAAAAAAAATTTGTTGCTATTTTTCACTACTTATTATTATTATTATTATTTGTTTTATAGATTATTAGAAAAAGTAGTTGGTTTACACTTATCTTATGTATTCATTTATTTATTTATATTTTTACTTTTTTGTTACAACGCGAAAGCAAACATATTTGTTATTATTATTATTATTATTATCGTCACTCTCGTTTTTTTATTTTAAAAAAATTTCAATATGGCAACTTTTCGAATCAGATGTTTTCGAAACTTTTTTTTTTATTATTTTGTTCTATCGATAATAATATTTTTCTTTTTATCATATATACCCTCATTCGAAATCGTCTGCTTTATTGCACTATTATTATTATCAATTCGCTTTGACGATGGGGGGGGGGGGGAAATTTGGTTTTTTTACTCTATTCAAGTCGAACAGTACAAAATTCATTCATTCCGGGTTTCGCATTCGATTTCATCGTAACAAATGTTCAAATATTATTGATGGTGGGGGTGGTGATGGTGGTGCGATGGTGGTGGTGGTGGTGATAATGGTGGTGCTATCGATGGATGAACGTTTGGTCCGTTTTTCAAAAAAAAAAGGAATTTCTTTGAATTTAATTTTTTTTATTCGAGAAAATCCACTTGGAATTATTATTTTTCAATTCATTGAATTTTGGCACGGATTCCGGTGGTGTGTTTGTCCTTCCTCTCCCTCCCCACAATGACCGGAATCATTTCTCCCTTTTTTTATTATTCACATCCCGACAATTATTATTATTATTGCTATTTTCCACCTCTTGATCTTTGGTATTTTATTTATTTATGCGTGCAAACACGCACGCACACACACGTTTTGAACTTGATTGTTTTTATTTTTTCGGTTAAAGTTCGAAATTATTCGAAATTTTTTTACAAATTGATTTTATTATTATTATTATTATTATTATTATTATTATTATTATTATTATTATTATTTGATGATGACGTTTTCGTACGTCAAAACATTTGACGTGAAACACGAATAATAATAATAATGATAATATTTCAAAAAGATTTTTGATTAAAAAATAATATTACGGGGATTTATTTATTTTACATAACCTTTTTCATTTGATTAATGTTTGCGTTTGTTTGCGCGTTTGTTTCCGTTTGTATGTTTGTTATCGATTACGTATTTCTTTATTAGGATTTATTCAATTGGGAATTACAAACTCGTAAAAAAAAAAACAAACAATAAGGAAAAAAGGGAAAAATGTCAAAATGAAATTGATTTAATTATTGGATTTTTATTTTTTTATTTTTGAAAAAATATATTTATTTATTTTATTTTAAATTTATCGCGGCGTCCGTTTGACGTCGGGATCACGCAAAAACGTGACCTTTTCTTTTCTTTTTCTTACCCGTAAGATTTTTTTAAAACTCGAAAAATTTATTTTTCATCAAACCGGACACAAATACGTTTGCTTTCGTTTTTTTTTATATAGCACATTATTTCGGAAACTTGTACGCTTTTACTCTGTAACGAAAATTTTATTATTATTATTATTATTTGGTGGTATAAGCGTACAAACGAGTTTCCGTTCCGTAGTTTATTTTTTAGAATTATTAGTTAGAAATTGTAAAATTCAGGAAACCTCCCGATTTGGAGCTGGAAGGTCTCTTCAAGCGACACTTCACAACCGTCGAGTTTTTTCAAGGTTCGATTATGAACCCGATCGACTTGCAGAGGGTCAAGGTAAAAGAAAAACATTTCCTCTTTTTCTTTATTATTTTTTATTTTTTTTCCATTTCCGGTTTTCCATTTCCGGTTTTCCTTTTCCGTTTTTCTCATCCCTACAGTCGTCGTGATATTTTCCAAACGTTCGAAATTCGTAATTACACAAATAGGAGGAAACTTCTCGAAATTTTTTTTTCTCCCTCTCGCTCTCTCTCTTGTCGTGAATTGCCATTCAAAATGGCGGTTTTTTATTTTCACGTTCTATGACACGTGTAATCGATGACGATTTTCCATTGTGTGAAAATTTTAGAAAATGATAGGACATTCATTAATTTTTAATTAAATATGGCGTCGAAGAGAAAAAAAAAAAAATTTTTTCCTCCATTTTTCTCGCACATTCTCGTTTTTGTTAAATTCTCAAAAAATTTTTTTTCAAATATTTACACGTGTACAAACGAAAACCGTTCAAATACACGTGTGTGTGTATTTCCTTAAAAATTTTCATACCAATTTTCCGTTATTTTCCGTTCGAAACGTACCTGGAACTTAATTTAAAAAAAAAAAAAAAAAAACTAGGGTGAGTAACAACACCAACAACAACAACAACCGATTCCTTCCTTATCATTATTATTATTATTATTATTATTATTATTATTATTATTATTATTATTAGTTTTTACAACCGTTTGTTTTCCGAAAAAAAAAATTGTTTATACGTTCGGTGAGTTACGTAGAACCTTTTTTTTTTTTTTAACTTTCCCCCCGCTATGTACAAACGCAATCAATCACACGTTGCATGAAGAAAATTTTTATTTATTTATTTCTAATTGCACGTTTTTGTTTGTTTGTTTGTTTGTTTATTGTTTAAACAAATAAAAAATTAATAACAATTACGAAATTTTTTTTTGTCATTGTCAATAATTAAATTTAATGTTCGAAATCAATGAAGGATTATAATAATTATAAAATATTATTTACGATTTTGTAATATTTAAATAATAATAATAATGAATTTTTTAGATCGATGGATCGATTGATTGATTGATTGATTATTATTAAAAATGATTTTCAGGTTCACGAAGCCGATGCTTGTCTCGTGTTAGCTAACAAATACTGTCAGGATCCGGATGCGGAAGATGCTGCCAACATAATGAGAGTTATTTCTATAAAAAATTATTCGGATGATATAAGAGTTATAATTCAACTCATGCAGTATCATAACAAGGTAATTATTATTATTATCATCATCATCATTATTATCATTATCAGGAACGTTAATAATAAAAAAAAAAAATTTTAATTAAATTTTCTCTCTTACCCGTTCCGTTTCCCCCTTTTCGTTTTTATATGTTTGTTTTGGGACGAATGAAATATAAATAAATAATAATGATAGTAATAATAATAATAAAAAAAAAAAAAAAAAAGTTTTTAATTATCTGAGGATCCCACTCGGGTTTTCTCCCCCCGCTTTGCCCCCGCCCCCGGCCCCTCCCCAATAAATTATGTATGAGAGTTAGAAATTAAACTTTTTTTCTTTTCCGCCGCCGCCATTTTCGGCCACTCGTGTTTCTTTTTTTTTTCTTTTTGTCAGCATAGAAAAATAACCGACGGTTGCGATAAGAACGTTTATTATCATTATTATTATCATTATTTATTCTGCTGACACGATAATTTTTGTATTTAATTAAATTCTTGAACGTTTTATTTTCTTTCTTATTTTTTTGCCCTCTCCACGTCTTTGAAACTTGAAAAGAAAGAAAAAAAAATATCATCATTATCATTATTATTATTATTATTATTATTATTTTACAGGCTTATTTGCTCAACATTCCTTCCTGGAACTGGAAACAAGGAGACGACGTCATTTGTTTAGCCGAACTCAAGCTGGGATTTATTGCTCAAAGTTGTCTTGCCCCGGGATTTTCGACAATGATGGCTAATCTATTTGCCATGAGGTCTTTCAAAACGGTGAGTCACGATTTCTATCTCTTTTACCAGGTTCGATATATATATTCGAACGCGAAATTTTCCTTTGCGACTGAAAGATGATAATAATGATGATTTTACACTCCTCCCCTCCCGCCCTCCCTCCCCCATAGATGAAAAAAACAAAACTAGACGATAGGAAACAACCGTTAAAACGATAATAATCCGAAAGAGAGAGAGAGAGAGAGAGAGAAAAGGGATGTTAATAAAATATGTTTTGCAGCTCGTACCCACTCAGGTCTGTGCCATGATGGCTTGGCAGAACGATTACCTACGTGGAACTGGTATGGAAATGTACACTGAAACACTTAGTCCTACATTTTGTGGGATGCCGTTCGCACTGGCGACGGAGTAAGTCGAAAAACGTCGTACGTGTGTTGAATGAATTTCGGGGGGTAAACAATTTAACGGTTGTTTTCTTCCGATTCATGCAACCAACAAAATTTCTATATATACATGTGTATATAACTCATAAATATATATGTACATATATATGCATACGCGATATTAAGAAAAAGAAGCTTGTTGTTGTCGCATATATATAATACTATTGGGGGGGAAAAAAAAAGAAAAAGTGCAAAAAGTGCCAACACAAACGGTTATGCAAACAATCACGAAAAGGGTGGTTCTATCGCTACATTGGTGTTGTTCTTCTTCGTTTCCTTCCGCCGCACCTTCTCTAACGAATGAGAAGATGCGGAAGCATAAGCACACATGGGGAGGATTGTTTTTTTTTTATTTATTTATTTATTTATTACACAATGTATATTTCTTATACATATAAATCCGCCATTGCTTTTTGTTTTTGTTACCGGGTACCGCCGCCTTATTTGTGTTTTGTATAAAAATAATTATGTGCCAATTGCTTCTTTCTGTTGTGAAAAAAAAAAAAAAACTATCCGAAGGTTTTCTCAAAATGAAAAAAAATAAATCGATGAATGAAATTTCGTGCAATCGGTATGTGAAGTAACGGATGAAATTTTCCCACCCCCTCTCACCCCCCTTACTCACCCCCACCCGGAGGCATTCCAGTCAAAAAAAAATTAATGATGATGATGATGATTATTTTGAAATAATTTGTTTAACGGCGGTTGTTTCGGACTGATTTCAGTCTCCGGACACTCAAGCGTGGCAGAATGATTACCTACAAGGTACAGGGTGCGAAATGTACACTGAAACATTATCTCCATCTTTCACGGGGATGACTTTTCCTCAGGCGAGCGAGTAAGTCAACTCAAAAAAAAAAAAAACCACCCCAACGTCACCCCCATTTTATATCCCGTTTTTTTTTAGTAGTAATACTGGTACTGGTAGTAGTAGTACTGGTAGTAGTACTGGTAGTAGTATTGGTAGCAGTGGTAGTAGTATTGGTAGCAGTAGTAGCCGTAGAAAGATTTTATATTGTTTTGATTATTTATTTGTTGGTTGGTTGTTTTTCACAAAACAAAACAGACGCCATTTTTTTTTTTTTTTTTTGATGTTCTTTTCAATCGTTCCCCACTCCCACCCCATCTCTCCCCTTGTTTGTTTTTATCCCGAATCTTCACTAATAGTTCGTAATAAAAGAAGTAGACAATACAAAAGTAGATTTAGTAGATTTCAAAGATGGATTAATATAGCATGGCATTATTAGATTTTGATCGAAAACCTCAGGTAGAAGGTACCCGACCACGTGATTATTATTTGCGCAAATTTTTTTTTCTAATGCTTAAACGCAAAATTTTAACGTTGTTTTGTTTTTGTCGTTGCTCTCGATTTCTATGAGTTTAACTAAATGATTTGCATGTGTTTGTATTTACGTTTGTCGTATGTTTGTTGGCAAAACTTTTTCGTCGCCTCGATTTTTCCTTTTTTTTTTTTTTTTTTTACCGCGGGGGGCGCAAAAGTTTTGTTTTTTTTTTTTGGAAAGAGCGCAAAATTTAATACGGAATTTTTTTCCACCTGCGATTTATTTTTTATTTATTACCATTATAGGTTGTGTTTCACCAAATTGAAACTTTTACTTCTGGCGATAGAGATAAAAGGAGAAGATGGAAACGATAGCAAAATATCGATAAATCCGCGGGGAGCAAAAATAAGCGCAAGCACTCAGGGGTTTTTTATTGCGCAATCCGCAGACGAAGTTAAAAGGTGAGGAAAAATCACAAAAATTCGAATTCTTAGAACTTTTAATAATTTTTATTCTCTCATTAATAATAATAATAATGATGATTTAATATCCGCCATTTTTCTTTTTTTTTCTTCCAGAGCTTGGTTCTACTGCAAAGCATGCCACGACGATATTAAAGATGAAACGCTAATAAAAAAATGCAAATGCAAAAACTGTGAGTATCATTTATTTTTTTATTTTTTGCCCCCCACTCCCCCCAACCCCCCACTTTTCCCCCACTCACTCGTAATTTTACGAATGAAATCATAATAATAATAATAATGATAATTTTTTTTAGTCTTGTAATTTGAAAACGTTGAAAGTTTTTTTTTTTTTTTTTTTTACACACGCGAAAACGGGAAAATTAATGATGATAATGATGATAATATTAAAGAGAGCAAAAAAATTATTATAATTAACGGTCCGAATGAAAGAAAAAATGCGACGTCAGAAACAAAAAAAAAAAAACTTTCAACGTGAAAAATCACGTGAACTGTATAGAAAAAGCAAAAGAAAAAAGAAAATTTTTTTTTTTTTTTTACGTTTCGTTTCGTTTCGTTTAAATTTGTTTTTTTTTTTCTTTTGCTACAGTTCATTGATTTCAATTACAAATAAATAATAATTTTAAAAAAAAAAAAAAAAAAAATTTTATAATGTACTTTTTGCTGTGGTAACGCTCGATTCTGTTCCTATGTTGCTCTACTGCAGTCTGCCAGTTGACTCAGCCAGGATGGAACCCTCTCGGTTTGTTTTCCTTTTCTTTCTTTCTTTCTATCTTTCTATCTTTTCTCTCTTTCCGCTTAGCTCTCCTTTTTTATTTATTTATTTATTATTATTATTATTTTTTTTTTTTAACATAAAAAACGATTTACATATATTTTATTTTATTATTTAAAAGCAAATTTTATTATTATTATTTTTTTTTTTTTAAAGGAATGATTTTACAAACACACACAAATTTATTTATTTAATTATTATTATTATTATTATTATTATTACAATTATTACGTCATCTGATGAATAAGATGAAATTAATTAATTATTATTTTTTTGCATATTGTATAAAATACATTGAGAAAATCCGCCTTTTCCGCCGCCTTTTCATCTTACAAAGCCTGATTTTTATTTTCTCTCTCTCTCTCTCTCACACACACTCTCACATTCAAAATGGAAAATTATTATTATTATTATTATTACGTATTACGTATTGCGATGGTTATTATTATTATTTTCCATTTTGAATTTTTTTTTTTTTAAACATATATGCCTACCGAAAAAAATTGAGACAACAGAATGTTTTATTTATTTAAATTATTATTATTATTTTTTTTTTGTCTGTCTGTCTGTCTATCACCGAACGTGCTGTTGTGTTATTTTCAATCATGCTTTTACTTTATTTTTACCGCCGGTTCACATTTCATATCATTATTATTATTTATATTGTTACAATTGGCTTATTACGTATTATGACGTCACTATGATATGTACATACATATATATTATTATCACGCGGCGGTGGCGATGATGAAAAAAAAAAAAATTACCGCGAATATCACCGTCACCACCATCGTCACAACCGCCATCGCCATCGCCGTCACAAAATAATACAATCACAATAAAATAGTGGCAAAAAAATCGTTCGATCGATCGTTCGTTCGATTATATTTATTATTAATTATTAATATCATTATTTTTTTATTTATTTATTATCATTTTAAATTTTTATTATTTATCATATTTTAATTTTTTTGATTAGGTTAAGTTTAATGAAACTATTAGGGTAATAATTAATTTTATTATTATTATTATTATTATTATTATTATTATTATTAATACTCACGAACCTTGAAATTATGCGACGACTTTAGTTTTTTTTTTTTTTTTTGGGGGGGGGGGGTCCCTCATTATTAATAATACTTAAATAAGAGAAAAGGGGGAAAGAAAAACACTTGAAATTTTTTTTAATTTTTTTAATTTTGGTCGCGGGAAAATAATAAGTAAAAAAAAACAATATTATTATTATTATTATTATTATTATTATTATTATTATTATTATTATTATTATTATTATTATTATCATTTAAATGCGGAAAATCAAACGGGGGGGGGGAATTTTTATTTTATTTTTTCTTTCTTATTTTTTAAAATTAAGCAAAATTAGTAGTTAATTAATTAATAAAAGGCCACACTACACACTATAAACATGGGTAGTTGTTATTATTAATATTATTATTATTATTATTATTATTATTATTATTATTTTTTACCCGCACTTTTTTTTTTTTGGAAAAGTAAATGAGTAATAAAAACCGAAAAATTAGGCACGTTTATATTTATTCACGCAGTTTTTTTTTTGTTCTTCTTCTCTTAATCATTATTATTATTATTATTATTAATATTATTATTTTTATTAATAATAATGATAATGATAATGATAATGATTATCATGAGAAAGAAATGACTGGTAGTGGTAGTTGTAAAATTAATTAGAATCGAAACGTCATTAATTAAATAATTAATTATTACGTAAATTAGAAAATTATTCCTGTATCTTGTAAGAAAAATTTTATTATTATTATTATTATTTTAAATCAATCAATCAATAAATCATTCAATAAGACAAAGAACGTTAAAAATTCATTCAAAAAAGACAATAAACAACAAACGTACAAACAAATAGTAATTGTTTTTTTTTTTTTTTTTTTTTTTTTTTTTACACGTAATCGTCATCGCGTATAGGAAAAATAAAAGAAAATTTTTTTTAAATAATAATAATAATAATAATAATAATAATAATAAATAATTAATAATAATAACAATTAATAATAATAATAATTAATAATAATAATAATAATAATTGTAACGCTAAAAATAAGGGAATAGGGAGTTTTTTTTTTTTTTTTTTTTTTTTTTGTTTAAACGTTTTGTTTTTGTTTTTTTTTTTTTTTCCGGTTGTTTGTTTGTTTGTTTGTCTTATTTTATATATATATATATATATTTTATCCGGCGGAATGTTTAAATTATTTTACAGATGTTGGAATGATGATCATGCAATCAGGGATGGTGCCAAAAGAAGCTGCGTTTGAGGGTAGGCCCCCCAATTTTTTCCCCCAATTTTCTTTTTAATTTTTTTTTTTTTTTAATTTCTTTTATTTAATTATTTAATTATTTCTTATGCAAATTTAAATTTGACAAAAAAAAAAAAGTATTTTATAATTAATTAGCACAAAATTATTTTCGTTAATGAATCGTTTGTTTTGCCTTGTTTATTATTATCATTATTATTATTATTATTATTCGCACGACACAAACAACGAGACACGTACGATAACGTAGCGTTTTAGGGAGATGTCGTTGTGTAATTTTAAGCCCCCGCCCCCCACTCCACACGCCCCCAACCTCACCACCCCTTCCCTCCTCCCACCCGAATCCGGAATGTTATGTTTATTATTATTATTATTATTATTGCGATCACCGTGACTCCCCGACCCATCCCGCCCCCTCAATCACAACAAACGATTCGTGACGAAATAGTTTTTCTTTTTGGCGCTAGTTTTCTTTTTTTCTTTTTTTTTTTTTTTTTTTTTTTTTTTTTGGCTAACAATTATGCAGTTAACTAAATTTTTTTTGCGTTGGTCTAACGGGAGGTTTATTTACGATAGCAAAAAAAATTTAAATCACTCTATTATTATTATTATTATTATTATTATTTATTTATTTTAAATTATGATTTGAACCCCCGAACCGAAGGGACTCACTCTCCGTTAACCGTTAGATCAATGTTTAATTAATGAGTGGTGTGATACACGCGTACAAATATAATAAGTGAATTGAACGGCAGCAAATGATAGTTTTGCGTTAAATAAAAAGGCCTTTATTATTATCATTATTATTCGAGCCGCTTTTGATATTTATATATAAGTAGTTAAGCGATTTTGTGTGTATATTTAGATGAGAAACACACCACACACAGCCTTTTTTTGTATTTGTTTTTTTTTTTTTTGGCACAATTCGAAGCAACCATTTTTTTTTTTTTTTTTGTAAAAATGTATTTAAGCGTGTGTGTATGTATGTATATGGATACGTACGTATTTGCTATCGTACATATCCATATATATATATATATATAAACATTCGTAATGAATTAATATTTGGCTTTTGCGCTTTTTAAAAGCTTCGCAATATAAAATAATGAAAATTTTTTACAGAGGGGAGGAAGGTGAAAAACAAATATTTTATTTATTATTATTATTATTATTTTTCTGTCGGAAATATCGTTTTTTTATTATTATTATTATTTGTTTTTTTTTTTTTTTTTTTTTTAAAACAATGACGACGATTGGATTCCCCAATTATTATTATTATTATCACAAAACACGTTACAAACGTATTGGGTAAAATTTCGGGAGTTTTTTCTTTCTCTCTCTCTCTGTCTTTCTCTCTTTCTCTCTCTCTCTGTCTCTTTCTTTTCCTCCTCTCGTTTCCATTTTTTTCCATAAAAATTCCAGAAAAAATTTTTTTCGTTGAATAATTTAAAAAGAAAAAAAATTTTTTTTTTTTTTTTTTTTTGTTGTGTGCGTTCGGACGCCATTTTGATCGTGATGAAATCAATAGCTTGATTATTATTATTATTAATTTTTTTTTTTTAATTTATTTCTTTTCTTTTTTTTTTCTTCTTCTTCTTCTTGTCTATATTTTATCCTACCGTGTCCCGTGTGTTATTAATAATTATAATAAAATATAGAAAATATAAAAGAAAATGGCGTGATTTAACCTTTTTTTGTTGTCTTGCGCAGTGGCGACGTTCAGGAAAGGAGTTCGCGCCATACAAATGGTCGGAAGGGCAAGTACGTACCCGCCCTTAAATGTTGTTGTCTGTTTAGATATTAATAATAATAATAATATAATTTTATTGTTCTTACGTTATACTTTTTCATATTAATTCGATAATATATAAGGTACTTAGCCATACTTAAATGTCGTTTAATTACTCTATGAAATTTTTCATTAAAAGTCAAATTCGAAACGAAAAATAATTTTTTTTTTTTAAGAAAGGGGGGACCGCATAATCATAGCGAGATTTAAAAATGATATACAAAAGAATATAAAAAGATTGTGTTTACTCGTAAGAAATAGATAGATGAAACGTTTTTTTTTAAAAATCAGATAAAAAAAATAATTTTGCAAGTGAGTTTTAGTTAGTTTTTTGTCAAATTTATTATTATTATTATTTACCGTATACACACATGTACACGTGTGATTTCTACGTGCATATTTTTTTCTCAATTACCGTTATTATTATTATTATCGATATTAGAAATAGAAAAGTTTAAATTTTTTTTTCTCTCTCTCTCGATTCCTTCTTCGATCGGGATATAAATTAATAAATAAATTTCGATTCATGCGTACACGCAAAATGTGTGTGTGCGTGCGCTCGCGAGTGTGTTTTTGTCTTGTTATTATTATTATTATTATTATTATTATTATTCTATTTTTTTTCTTTTTCTCTTTTTTTTTTTTTTTTTTTTTTTTTGATATACACAGCTTTATTAAGTGTGAAAAATAAATGTAAGTCGACCGAATGTTGTCGGTGTCGTCGAATTTTCTTCTCTCTCTCTCTTTTTCTCTCTATTTCTCTCTCTCTTTCTCTTCCCCCGATTTGAACTTTGACATTTCCGTTTGAAAAATTTAAATATTTTTTTAAAAATTATGTTCGATGTTGTTAATTCATACGAAAAAAAAATTTATTAATTTTTAATAAAAGGAGAAGTAAT